TCTCTGCATGGTGAAGTAGTTCCTCAGAATGATGGAGGATGTGTTGTATATGGTTCTATATAGAACCAAAAAGGGTTCTGCTATTGTTACGATGTCAAGCTTGTAACAGTAGTAGAACTCTTTTCAAAAAGGTTTTATCTAGAACAATATACCACACATCCTCCATCAATCTGAAGAATACAGAGCCCTGCTGATGAGATCCTGTTTAAATAAAAAATAATGCATGGCCACAACTTAGTAAGGCATGGGAATGAGATAATTAAGTCATGGCCACAACGTACTAAGGCATGGGAACAAGATAATTAAGTTGTGGCCATGACTTAGTAAGGTGTGGGAACAAGATAATGAAGTCACGGCCACAACTTAGTAAGGCATGGGAACGAGATAATTAAGTCATGGCCACGACTTAGTAAGACATGGGAATGAGGTAAGTCATGGCCACAACTTGGTGAGGCATGGGAACGGGACAATTAAGTCATGGCCACGACTTAGTAAGACATGGGAACGAGATAAGTCATGGCCACAACTTAGTGAGGCATGGGAATGGGATAAGTAAGTCACGGCCATGACTTAGTAAGACATGGGAACGAGATAAGTAAGTCATGGCCATAACTTAGTGAGGCATGGGAATGAGATAAGTAAGTCATGGCCACGACTTAGTAAGGCATGGGAACGAGATAAGTAAGTCATGGCCATGACTTAAAGAGTCATGGGAACAAGATAAGTAAGTCATGGCCATGACTTAGTAAGGAATGGGAACGAGATAAGTAAGTCATGGCCACGACTTAGTAAGGCATGGGAACAAGATAAGTAAGTCATGGCCACGACTTAGTAAGGCATGGGAATGAGATAAGTAAGTCATGGCCATGACTTAGTAAGGTGTTGGGACGAGATTCTAATGCGTAGCCATAACTTAGTAAGACTTAGTTAGTGGGAATGAGATGATTAAACCTTGACCACAGCTTAAAAAGGCATGATCTTGTTCCCACACCTTACTAAGTCGTGGCCATGACTTAATTATGTTGTTCCCATGTGCATTAGGATCTCATTCCCATGCTTTAATAGGCCATGCATTATTTTATTTATATGGGATTGTCACCAGCAGGGCTCTGTAGAGGAATGACTTCACCATGCAAAGAACCATTTAAGCATGAAAAGGTTCTATACAGAACCATCTGCTTTGAGGCCAAGGCAAGGCATCAACAGGTGGCGGGTCTCTAACTGTACACCAGCAAGTTGGAGCTACAAGAGAGGGGTTTCGGATAAATTGGCCAGGCAAATGACTGCATAGCAGTTACAGCAATTCTCACCACAGTTCCCACACTTTTTAACAGAAATTAGGAACACTGGCCTCAGAGCAGTTATATTCCAGCCTTTCTAACTCAAAACTGAGGTTCTAATAGGGTTCGTGTGAGGACGTTGTGGGTTTAAATCATCTCAGGGGGAGATGAATATGCTCTGAGGGCAAACATCAGCGGCATTCATTCAGTAAATCACGGCTGTGGAATTTCTCCAGTTGCTCGGTGGCTTTGCTGGGAAAGGATGAGCATGCCGCTCCGCACGTTCTCCTCAGCGGAGTCGGGAGTGTGCCAGGCCACAAAAACCTGCCTCCTTGTCCCACAGACACGTCCCCTCTTCAGCGAGCTGCAGGAGCAGTCAGAGGAACAGTTCCTCAGATTTATACAGTTTTCCCTCTTTGACATGTTTGGTGTGTGAAGTTTGCTTATTCACTCTTGCAGTAAGTGCTGAGCACCAGTTAGCGTGGTGCTAACTTGGTGTCTAAATCATCACACACTCGTCTGAAAGCGTCTGGAGGTGTTCAGTTTCTCTAATAGTCTGGATGGTGTGGTTTCTGACCACACCATCCAGACCATTCACACGCATCTAGCCTTGTATGTGTAAGGCTGATCATGGTAAAGCAGTGGTGGAATTCCTCTTTAATTGCACAGGTTATTGCAAACTAATATAGGAAACATGCGCATTTCTTTACATTTTAAAAAGCTAGTGTTCATGTTTTTTGTTTTTGTTTCTTTTTTTTTGTTGTTCTGGGAAGCTACAGAGTTCTCACACCTTTTTACACAGAACTATTAAATCTGACACTGTTTTGACCTCCGGGTTTTTGACAAGCTGTAAGCATGTAGGGCTTGTTTTAACAAGTTCATTACACCGGAGATTCTCAGTCAAACTCCTGCAGTAACTCACCGTCTCCTGCACGTTTAGTGTTTAACCTGCAGGGGGCGATCTGCTGATTTTAAGGACTTTAAAGTTGTGTCTATTTTATCAGCTCCACTGACCATATAGTTTCAGTCTGTAGTTCTACAGTTACAGACTGTAGTCCATCTGTTTCTCTGATACTTTGTTAGCCCCCTTTTACCCTGTTCTTCAGTGGTCACGACCCCCATGGACCCTCACAGAGCAGGTACTATTTGGGTGGCGGGTCATTCTCAGCACTGCAGTAACACTGACATGGTGGTGGTGTGTTAGTGTGTGTTGTGCTGGTACGAGTGGATCAGACACAGCAGTGCTGCTGGAGTTTTTAAACACTGTCCACTCACTGTCCACTCTATTAGACACTCCTACCTTGTCAGTCCACCTTGTAGATGTAAAGTCAGAGACGATAGCTCATCTTCTGCTGCACAGTTTGTGTTGGTCATCCTCTAGTCCTTCATCAGTGGTCACAGGACGCTGCCCACCGGACGCTGTTGGCTGGATATTTTTGGTTGGTGGACGATTCTCAGCCCAGGAGCACTGCTGTGTCTGATCCACTCACACCAGCGCAACACACACTAACACACCACGACCACATCAGTTTTTTTTTCCATCCCTCCATCCCTGTCTAATAGTCAGTAATGGTATTCTTTTTTTTCCTGATGGGTTGATATCACAATGTAAAGGACTCTAATGGTTTAACAGGTGTTCTGATTCATCCATGTTTGCTTATTAACCATTTTAAAATCAGCATGTAAAGACGTTCTCTAAAGAAGAACGACTTTTTTACACATTTGATAAATCAATGTGATGGTTAGTTAATCTCAGCGTTACTGAGCTCTGCTAAAGCCTGAGTGGACTGATAAATCAATGTGATCAGTTATTAATCTCAGCGTTACTGAGCTCTGCTAAAGCCTGAGTAGACTGATAAATCAATGTGATCAGTTATTAATCTGTGTTACTGAGCTCTGCTAAAGCCTGAGTAGACTGATAAATCAATGTGATCGGTTATTAATATCAGTGTTACTGAGCTCTGCTAAAGTCTGAGTAGACTGATAAATCAATGTGATCAGTTATTAATCTCAGTGTTACTGAGCTCTGCTAAAGCCTGAGTAGACTGATAAATCAATGCGATCGGTTATTAATCTCAGCATTACTGAGCTCTGCTAAAGCCTGAGTAGACTGATAAATCAATGCGATCGGTTATTAATCTCAGCATTACTGAGCTCTGCTAAAGCCTGAGTAGACTGATAAATCAATGTGATCGGTTATTAATCTCAGCGTTACTGAGCTCTGCTAAAGCCTGAGTAGACTGATAAATCAATGTGATCGGTTATTAATCTCAGCGTTACTGAGCTCTGCTAAAGCCTGAGTAGACTGATAAATCAATGTGATCAGTTATTAATCTCAGCGTTACTGAGCTCTTTTGAGGGATGTTGGAACTGAACATTCTCCTCAGTAGTCGACGTGTTTGTGATCAGCATCGCTGTTGTACTGGACTTGTGCATGTGTTTCATGGCAAGTTACATACATGCCATTAATTGAAAATCAAAGCTGCTGACTTTGTAGTCAAACATGCAAGACTTTGTTGTTGGGCAGTGGGATTATGGGGGGCAGCAGTGGGATTATGGGGGCAGCAGTGGACTGAAGCGGGCAATGAGAGCCAAAATAACTTATTGAAAATTTTGTAACTTAAATGAATAAATGAATTTTCATTTAAACATATTAACAAATGAATTACATGAAGAAACCTGTCGGCCAGTAACAGAGAGCCACTGTGTGAATTAAATAAAAGCTTTCCAGTGTATCTTATGTATTCTATGTATTGGTAAAATGTATTCTGAGTAATGTATTGTGAACGCTTTTTATGCAGCGTAATACATTACTGAATACCTTCAGAACAGCATATAAAAGGGGAATTCCACTGATTTTGAAAAAAATCTGCTCTAATTAAACAGTTAAGATGTAATCAGAGTGGTTCAGAGCGGTTTAGTGTGAAACGCTCCGTTCTAGATAAACTTACCGAGTCAGAATTGTTCACAGTGGTGGTGATAGGAACCAGACGTCCACCTCTAAAAGCTCCCTCGCAGAAAGTTACTACATGAAATGGTTATGAATTCACTGCCTGATGACTGAGACACTGTTTTATGACAGTTTTGAGAAGATTTTGGCCTTAAACTCCATTCATGGTGGAGGGATACATAACATAGAGGGTGTTATAAGGCAAAATAGTCCCCAAAGAAAACTTATTATTTCAGATTTTCCACTATTTTCCATCATCAACATTCCATATAAACTCAGAAGACTCGTGTAGGTTCACTGGTGGTTCTGGATAGTAAATAAAATGTCTATATTTGTGTTGTAGTCATGGCGACCCCTGGTTCCTATCACCACCACTGTAAAGACATCTGAACCATTTCACACCAAACCATTCAGAATCACTCTGATTACACCTTACACACTGAGTTATGGAGGAATTCTGAAAAATCAGCGGAGTTCCCCTTTAAGTATTCAGCCATTGCTTCATTATTCCGCCCAACTCGGTTCACAACTCGTAAATGTGGGTAACACTGAAACATATTTACGACGTTGTCAGTCCCCGCGTGCCACCTCCTTTGTGGTGAACTCAGAAATGGACATTTTTGCGAGGCCCGTCCGTCCAACCGCACCGCTCAGCTCTGCGCGCTCCCGCTGCTGTGTCACGTGAGCGAGCGCGCCGCGCGCTCCCGCCGAACTCGCGGCGAGTGAGAGCTCGTGGAGCAGCAGCGCTGCAGAGTTCAGAGGAACACACACACACCACACTGGACATCATCATCGTTCCCGGGTCACTTCACTGCCGGGCTGTGTTTTCCTCGCGGACTCAGAGCTGATCAAGTCGGCATTAATTGCGGAATAATTAATTAGACGATGACGTCAGGAGCCGCACCTGAAAAGAAAAGGTAAATAAGTCGCTTCGTTTCCTTCATAGGCTCGGGATTAATCCCAGCAGAGCAGCCATACTTACAGGACTGTGTTAAAGGGGAACTCCACCGAGTTTTCAAAATTTTTGCAAAATTAAACGGTTAAGACGTAAACAGAGTCGTTCAGAGTGGTTTGGTGTGAAACGCTCCGTTCTAGAGAAACTTACCGAGTCAGAACTGTTCACAGTGGTGGTGATAGGAACCAGACGTCCACCTCTGAAAGCTCCCTCACAGAAAGTTACTACATGAAATGGTTATGAACAGGATGGTTGTGAGAAGATTTTGGCCTAAATATGTGTTTTTTTAATATGTGCAGGGTGGAAAGAACATGCAGAAGCAAAACAGTCCCGGGAAAAAAATGAATTATTTCAGATTTTCCACTGTTTTCCATCATCAACATTCCATATAAACTCAGAAGACTCGTGTAGGTTCACTGGTGGTTCTGGATAGTAAATAAAATGTCTATATTTGCGTTGTAGTCATGGCGACCCCTGGTTCCTATCACCACCACTGTAAAGACATCTGAACGACCAAACCACTCTGAATCACTCTGTTTACATCTCAAACACTGAGTTAAGCATGAATTTATTTCACTGAAAATCTGTGGAGTTCCCCTTTAAGACACACAGTAATGAAAAGTGTAGCATTAATGTCTGAGGTGTTTATAGTGTTGGATTAAGACCTACAGTGCTCATATAGGCTTCAATTAAGACTCACATTAATAACTTCTACAGTGAGCACAGTATTAGATTAAAACTGTAGTAACACTTTAAGGGCCAGCTTCCCAGACCCACATCAAGCATCACTAAAACGCATTTCCTATGGTGATCCTAGGCTTAATCCTCATCTGGGAAACCGGCCCAGAGTGTTGAATGAGCACCTACAACATTTGTTGGTGGATTCCTCGATGGATTAAGCCTAGTCCTGGACCACACAACACTCTGCATGGAGATTCTCCGCTGAAATAAAAGCGTAGTCCAGGCCTGGGCTTAAAGATTTTTATTCTAGGTTTAAACTTAATCCGGGTCTGGGAAAGCAGCCCATAGTGTTGATTGAATGTGCTGGAAAACAACATTAGGGCTTCCTTGCTGTGGATTAAGCCTAATCTTGGACTACATTGCAATGTCAGTGGTGGTCTCCACTTAAAATCACTTTTAGTCTAGATTTTGGCTTAAAGCAACACTATGTTGGATTTGGGGATTTAGAGACCTCCCTGGTGGAAATGTGTAATTGCACGCAACATGTGGAAGAACATTTTCTAATGTGGACCCGGGTGAATCTAGATTTTGTGACTGCGTTGACAGAGAATTCAAAGAAAACTCAGTCTAAACTTGGTGAAGGATATGTCCTCTGAGGATTTTAGTGAATTATCTACTACTGTCTTCACATCTTTATCAGTATAATGTTGATTCTGAGATCATTTGAGACCTAAACACTGAACCGGACCTTCTTTTTGGGCCTGTAAAAATATGTAAAGACGTACGCCGTGATCTAAAAAAACCTCTTTAAATGATTATTCGCTGTGGCTCACTCTCACCATATTTTAGTGTCTTCTTTTTCTCCATGTTCAATAAAGCTACTTCTTTCAGTTTTAACAAAAAATATTACATAGTGCTGCTTTAATCTGGGTCTGTGAGACAGACCTTGAAATTCTCAGAGTATTTGTGAGATTAAACTGAGAATAAAAAGCTTTGAAGTGCTAAACTACCATCAACAATATACACTTTAGTCCTAGATTAAGCTTAATCCATGTCGTTAGTAATCAGAGGTGGTTGATATGGCAAAAATACAATATTGTAATATTTCAAGAAACTTTCACGATACCTGATACCTACACTCTTAAAAAAGTCGGTTCTTCAAGGGTTCTTTAGTAAAGATAGTGGTTCTATACAGAACCGTGACCACTCAAAGAACTATTTGCATACTTTAATGGTTCTCTGCATGGTGAAATTGTTCCTCAGATTGATGGAGAATGTGTTGTATATGGTTCTATATGGCAAAAAAGTGTTCTTCTATTGTTACGATGATATACAATAGAACCCTTTTTGGTGCTATACAGAACCATTTTCAAAAATGAAATACACACTGCATGTTTTATTCTGTGCAGAACCGATTCTTGTGCTTTATGATACTATGAAAGTAGTTGGTCTGTCTGTAAACAGTGTTTTATTGTATTATTTTGGCTTATAACATCAGGCCTAACATCAGGGGTTCTGTAGTAAAGACAGTGGTTCTATATAGAACCCTGAACATTCAAATAACCGTTTGCATGTTTAAATGGTTCTTCAGATTGATGGAGAATGTGTGGTGTACGGTTCTATATTGGTGCTACACAAATCCATATTCAACACATTCTCCATCAGTCTGAAGAACCATTTAAGCATGCAGAGAACCATTTAAATATGCAGGTGGTCCTTTGAATGTTCATGGTTCTATATAGAATCATTGCCTTCACCAAAGAACCTTTGAAGAACCATCTTTTAGGAGTACTGAGTAGGCCTAAAGTTGTGCCCTTAAGCAGCCTTGGACTAAATTGAAACGTCAGTAGCGACATGGATTAAGCTCAGTTACAGTGTCAGTCAGTTACTATTGGGGAATTGTTTTTAGTCTAGATTTAGGCTTAATCTGGGTCTGTTGTCACGGCGATTTCTCATTTCTCAGTGAAAGATGATCATGGGGATGATGATGATGGCACTGTAATGTTGGCTGATAAGCTCAGGAGTGATGTGAGGTCGGCTACAAAGCAGAGAAAGGAGAAGAAGGGCTTAATTAATTAATTAAAATAGCTAAATTTGGTGTTTTGCAATTCCAGGATATTGATATATGCAAATGAGTCCTGTAACCTGTAAATGCCTTACTGTGTGCTCTTGACCAATCACAGTTCCAGATGAGTTTTTGTGGGTGTTTAAATGAATTAATCAAGGCGTTTGTGTGTTTCAGTACAGTATTGAAAAATCACTAATCACCATTCAGAACAGTGTATGGAAATGTGGAACTGTATGCCCCATACACTATTTGGGTACAGCCTATCAGAGCAATGTGGGCAGGAGGGGGCGGGAGCTTGTGCTATGGACACACCCACTCTCAAATGACTGGCCTATTTCTAAAGAGCTTATTGATTTGTTAGAGGGAGGCGTGGCAGGACATCTGTTTATCTGAGCCAAACTGATGTGTGTGGAATGTAATTAGAGCTCTGAAGAATTAAGACATTTTAACGTGTCTTCAAAGAAAAACAAGCATCTCCGTTTGTTTTCATTGGTTTTCTGCATGATTTGGGCTCAGCAGCTGTCCTGTACACATTAAATCTACATATCAGGATGAATGGACCGATTAAAATGCTCCAAAATTGTTTTGAATAAAATCTTTTTACATTAACTTAGATGTTTTTGCCGTCACCTTAAACTTAAATCATTTTGGATTTGGATTTCTTTTTCTTTGGAAAAACAGTCGAAAATATCAAAAATTGAATCAAATCTTGGCCTCGGATTAAAAAATTGTACCAGAAAATATGTGTTGTTACTTGAACCAACGGTTCTTCAAGGGTTCCTTGGTAAAGACAGTGGTTCTACATAGAACCATGAACACTCAAAGAACCGTTTGCGTGATTAAATGGTTCTTTGCTTGGTGAAATAGTTCTTTGGATTGACCAAGAATGTGTTGTATGTGGTTCTATATTGAACAATTTTGAAAATGGTTCTAGATAGCACCAAAAAGCGTACACGCTTGACATCATAACAACAGCAGAGCCGTTTTGGTGCTGTACGTATACCATTTTCAAAAAGGTTCTATGCAAAACCATACAACACATTCTCCATCAGTCTGAAGAACCAATTCGCCAAGGAACCATTTAATCATGCGGATGATTCTTAGAGTGTTCATGGCTCTAATTAGAACAATTGTCTTTACTAAAGAACCTTTGGATAACCACCTTTTTAAGAGATTAGCATTCAGAAGATTCAGTGTGTGTGTGTGTGTGTGTGTGTGTGTGTGTGTGTGTGTGTGTGTGTGTGTGTGTGTGTGTAGTGGTATATTTATCGCTGCTCGTATCTCCATTTTTAATGTTTTTAAGTTTTTGATATATTTTAAAATGTCTGTTGATCTTTACATTGTGTGTAAATTTTGTGATGAATGGATCAAAGGAAACGGCCCAAAATTAATCTGGTTCCATTGATGGATAAACATCTGGTTTTATTGATGGTTCCATTTTATATATATATATACATATATATATACGTGTGTGTGTGTGTGTGTGTGTATGTTTATATATATATATATCATATATTTATCATACTGACATAACAGTCTGATGAATATATATTAAGCTTCATGTTCATCAGACTGTTCTGCTCATTATGAAGAGCAGGTTTTGGTCTAAATAATAATTAATGATTTGTCAGTTTTCTTTTCCAAACTCTTGTTAAAAGCTCACACTGAAACTCCTTTGGTCCAAACGTGGTTTAAACACCTGACAGGACTGAGTGCTCACATCACAACAAGGGGATAAAGTGGGCGTGGCCTTTGGCTCTATTCTCAAGATAGCATTGCCATTAATATTGGCACAAATATTTACGTGTGATATTGTCGTTACTGTTAGTTAACCTGTTTAATGTGCTAACCGACAGAGATCATTTGTATTACAGGGCCCGTATGGTGATAAACCTGATTATTTTCCTTGCTTTTATTTTAAAAAATAGATTGATATAGTATGTCAACATCGTTAACGTTTCACTGCCCACTCTGTATAGTCCATGTATGGGACCTAAGCTGCAAAAACAGCCTGTTTTGAATGTACTGCTTTTGTGATGTCACAAAACCAGCTGACGTACATATCCAGTTATTCAGCATACTGCAGTTTAGCTCAGCCTATTCACGCTGAAGTTATAAGGAGTGTTCCAGTCTGGACTGCTAATTAAAGGATTGTTTAAGTAATTAAAGATTGATTAAAGGTCCAATAAAGGGTTTAGGAGCCAATCAGAACA